CGAGTCGGTCGTAAAGATGGCGGCGCAAAGCTACAGTGACGTCATGTTAATCGAATGAATAATTAAAGTGATCATGATTAATATAGTGAAACATTTTAGAGAGCAAATTCTACTTGACTGAACAGATTTAATTTACTTATACTTCTATATATGTGTATACGATGTGGAATGTAATTCATGTATACCTATACTGTATATGTATGTATATGTTTTTTATTATACATCTGTGTGTTTTTTTCATTATACTAATTGTTTGGTATTATGATGCTGAGATAATGTATACATAGTTTCTTATATATTATATATGTAGGCAGTATGGGGTGGTTGGGTGATTTGTTGTCAAATGTTTGTGAACACTGTTTCTCAAATAAAAATATGCATTAGAAAGAGCAAATTCTAATCTCTTAATAACAAAATATATTTATATATATTTTATATATCCGATGTATCTATGTTAGGGTTACTTGTCACTCTCACAGCACCGTGATGACGTGGGATTTTAGTTGAGGCGGAGGCTTTTAAATAGTCTGACCTGTGATTGGCTTGCAGCACCTGTAGCTCCGCCTCCAGACGCCGCCTGTCCTCCAGAGCTCCGCCTCTCTCTCTCTGAAGCCTCAGCAGCTCCTCCTGATTGGATAAAATGCACACGTCAATCACATTCACCTTCTGATAGTCAACTTATTGAAATCCACAGCAGCAGAAAGAATGATCTGAGTGATGATGATGATGATGATGATGATGATGATGATGATGTTGAGGGTTTAGTGCGGTTGTTAACTGTGTTTGTGGTGCTGATCTCAGTGAGACTGTGTTCAAATAAAGGATTAATTAACTAATTGACTAATTAAGGAACACGAGTGTCAGCACACTTCATGGTGAGGATTTAATTTTTATCAGCGTGTATTTAGCTCCTAATGTACTGAGACTCCTGACTGAACCACCAGGTGAATTCTGGGAAGGAACGAGAGCATTAAGGATATCAATAGATCACAAAACTTTTATTCTGGTAGCAGTTCAGCTCCACCGGACAGAAACCTTTAATGTTTTAGTCCATAAATAACCGTTGGCACTGAACTGAAGACAAACTGAGAGAGGCAACAAGGACAATTTACGGAGGAGCAGGAGGTGTTAATACGGAGCTAAACACAGACAAACACTGTAAATCTTTATTAAAACAGTTAACCTGCAGTCATTTCAACTTTAATAAACACCCTATTATCGCCTGTTATTGCCTGTTATAGACATTTACCGCCTGTTACCACCTCTTGTTGCCACTGTCGCCACGTATTGTTGTCCACTATTACCTCCTGTTCTCACCCGTTACCGCCTGTTATCTGGTGGATCCTCCTGAAATATGGAGGAGGAGGCGCAAACACTCAAATGAAACTGATGAATACACTTCATGTCTGAGGAGTATATATCAAATCCACACAATGAAACACAATGTGTCGCCTGTCTCCTCATATCCTCTGTCCTCACCCCTTAGCACCTCCTCTTTCGTCACCCCCTAGCACCTCCTCCTCCCACTCATAGAACTGCTGCTGCAGGGATCGAACCCGCAGGCTGACAGTTACAGGACGGTGTACCTCACTGCGTCTCTGGTCAAACAGAGTGGAGCTCGACTCCAGCAGGGATTACAGACCTGATTCCTGACCTCCTCCTCCTCTATTCTAATTAAAGCCCTCAAGGTCTGCTAGTTTAAAGTGAGACATCAAAAGAGGAACCAAACCCAGAGAGTCAATATGTGTCTTCTCCAGCCGGGCCGGAGGAGACGCTTCAAAAGAGCCGCCGACTTATTAATCAGTATAATTTCCAAATGAGATGATCAGTAAGCGGGAGCGACGGCAAGCTGACCTTTAACATGAGGAGTTAAGGTCAATGAAAGAGGAGGAGGAGGAGGAGGAGGAGGGGGAGGAGGTAATAAAACTAACCTGCCTGGACCTTTAACAGGAGGAGGAGGAGGAGGAGGAGAGTGTAGGTGAGGAGGAAAGGGAAGAGGAGAAACAGGATGATGGGGGAGGACGGAGAGGGGTGAGGAGGACGGGAGGAGGAGAGGAGTAAATGAAAGGAACCTCCTCTGACCTTTAACATGAGGAGCTAAAGGGGCAGTTCATAACAAATTAGCCCCCAAATTCAGCCCCCCAGTCAGCTGATTGAAGCTGGTGTGTTTGATCCGTCGGTCCTTCCAGGAAGCAGGATTACAGTCCCGATACAATGACATCACTTCCTATCTGAAGGTCTGGTTTCTGGTCTGGTTTAAGTCCCCGACACACCGGGACCATGTCGGGCCGTCAGTGACTGCGGAACGTAGTGAAGATCTGATCTGATCGTCAAACGCGATATTCTAACAACCAGCAGCTGGTTGATGAAGGTCTCTGCAGACTGACACCCCTGCTGGTACAGAGAGTTATTACCTCTTGAACGTACGTTGGCTGTGTCCTAGTGTCTGCTGGACGACACCTTTACAGGTATGGTTTCTGGTCTGGTTTAAAGTTCTGGATGTAACAGGTCTGGTTTAAAGTTCTGGTTTCTGGTCTGGTTTAGGGGTCTGGTTAAGGGTCTGGTTTCTGGTCTGGTTTAGGGGTCTGGTTTCTGGTTTCGGCGTGCTGTTTTTCGGTGGCTCTCTGACAGTCTGTCAGTTAATTTAACAGCAGCTGTTGGTGTTTCTGTTGGAAATTAAAAACCTCTCCAGGCTCTAATCCCCCCGGAGCCCTCCAGCCTAATTAACAGACTTCATGAGGAAAAAAAGAGTGAGTGCTACATTAATAACAAAATTTAATATATTTCAGCAGAAGAAAACAGACTGCAGAGCTGCAGGAGGAAGATTCTACCGGCACTAGCAACACCGATCAATCTAATCATCTATCAGCCGATCAATAAACGACAGTTATTGTTGACCTGGATGTGATTAGTGCTTCTGTGTAACTGTAACCTGCAGATGTTCCACCAATCGGACACCTGATCAAGGATCAATCAATTCCTGCTGTCCCACCTGCTGGATCTGGTTTTACTGACATTTATAATGATTCATTGAATCAATGTATTTGTCTTTCGTTACCTGTGAGCCCTCAGTGACAGGTTCAGGGTTAACCACCAGAACTAAATACCAGAGCCGGCAATGCTTCATAACCAGCCACATTAACACAGGCTGGGCTGTGCTGCTGTGCTACAGGGGATCAATAAAGGGACATCTTAACCCGTAACCTGGACCCAGACCTAAACCTGGTTCTGACCTGAACCTTCAAACAACGTCCTCTCTGTGACGGGGGAGGTCCTCGCAGAGATACAAACACACACACACACTGTTTGAATAACAAGTTGTTGGCAAACATGCTGCAGCGTCTCCACGGCCAGTTGTCATGGCGACGGAGCAGACATCCCATCATCAACATTCAACAGAGAGCAGCAGTTAATATGCAAGAGAGAGAGAGAGTGTGTGTGTGTGTTTACCTCGCTCGCCCTCTGCTCTCTCTCCTGGATCAGCTCCTGTTCCAGCCGTTTACACTGCAGAGAGACAATCTGGATTTATTGATCTGATCACACACACACACAGGAAGTCACACCTGTTGTGTTTCAGGTGTTTCAGTTACACACAATGTGGCCAAAAGTCTGCGGACAGCTGAGCATCACAACTATATGAGAGTGTTGGACATCCCGTTCTATTGCCTACATACAAAGAATGAGCCTCGATATATTGGTGCATAAAAATAACCGTCTGTGCAACATATAAAGATAATATAAAGACAACAAAAACATAAACAACTATAGATATTCAATGTGTTAGTTCACTGTCTCTGTATCAGATATAAACCAGCATCACTGTGACACACACATTCACAGTTGGAGACAGTTTCCTCCTTCAGGTGTCCTGTGGGGTTGAGGTCCAGTTCCTCAACACCAAACCCGTCTAACAGGACCTTACTTTGACCCCTTTCCCTCCAAGTTCTTGTTCTTGATCCGGTTCTGTTCAAGAATCTTGGATCCTTGGTTCTGTTTAGCGAACCAGTGGAACCACTGTAATCAAGGATGAGGGGGCCGCACAATGCTCACAATTACTGGTTTGATTGATCATTATACAACAAAAGGTTGTAGAACGAGATGTTTGCACTTCTTCATCAATAGGATAGATAGAATAATATATAAATAAAGCAATATATACAGTTATTAATATTCATACAGAGAAATAATTCTGTGTCTGGTTGAATGTAAACAGCAGCAAGATACTGATCATAATATGGTTTCATCTTTTAACAAAAATCCACTTTGTGTGCTCCAAACATCATCAACCCGGTCCGCCCGTCGAGGATCCGGTATGTCGATGGAGCAGGTCTCTGTAAAGATGTGGGCACAACAGTCTCTGATTTCCTGATGTTCAGCCAGCCTGATGGGACTTCATCTAGACCGGACTTTTTCCAAGAGCAGCCTTCAGTCCAAGCTGGACCAGCATGGTTCCCATCTGGGTCTCTTCCTCGCCTCTTGGGGCTGATCTGTGGATCGTCTCAAAGTCCACTCCTCTTTAATCGGAACCGAAGGAGCTAGCCCACCGATCACATCTGTATGTCTGTTGACATAGTCAAAATCCGACCAGGACTCGACGGGTTCAGGCAGCGATAGGAGAGGAAGAAGAGGAGGAGGAGCCAGTTTGTAGCCGGTTAATTAGTCAGTAACTGTTACCGTTATCTATCATCCATCGTATCTATCAGCCAGGATCAGTTTCAGTGAAGTTGGAAGTTATTCATTTTGTGACAGGGTTCCCCCTCTTTTTAAGAAATCATTATCCAGGATTTGTTTGTGGCACGTTCGGTTGTTCTCACCACAAACTATTCATTTCCTGCAGAGCTGCAGTTTCCAGCAGATTGACTACAGATTTACTTTAAACATTAATTCATCCAGAGCCCATAACATAACAAATCAAGTAGAATTTATTTTACAGAAAACAACCTTCTCACCTATCAGCCATTAGAAGATCTAACTAAATACACACATAATCTAACCTGTGTGAAGTTTCCAGGACAACACACATTATTTATAGGACATTTGGTCATTTTAATTTCCATGACTGGAAAACTAGTTTCTAAATTTCCAGGTTTTCCAGATTTTCCAAGACGCCTGCGTGTGTTGAATAACCAGACTGTGTGATGTTACACT